CATGCCTTCTTAGGGGCTGGCTACAGGAGTACCTGAGGGCTTGTGAGGGTGTGGTCAGAGTGAGTAGGGGGACTGCGTTTCGGTTTCGGTTTCTCTTTGCTTCTTGCTGTACAGACTACCACCGGCTGGCTGGTCCGCTCTGTAAGTAAGGCTTTGCCCTATTAAATACCCTTATATTTCTACCTGACTCTGTATTGGTAATTACCTACTATAGAGGGGTGAGCAAAGGGGTCAAGACTAGACTGGAGAAACCCACAGAAACAGCTGGCCTGAACAAGGGGTTGCTCATGGACCCCAGACTGATAGCTGGGAAAACATCTAAGGACTGTTCCAAACCCCCAAAGGAGGAAGTCAGTTTGGAGGTCTGGACGATCTATGAGGCTACTGGTAGTGGATCAGAATTTACCCCCAGTACACAAATGAACTTCAGGAGCCCTCTTCACATAGAGGGATACTCTCTCTTAGCCTAGACACACTGGGGAGGGTCTACATCCTGCTCCAAATGATATGACAGACTTTGAAGATCCCCCCTTGGAAGGCCTCATCCTCCATGGGGAGCAGAAAGGGATTGGGATAAGGAGTGGGTGGGGGGTTGGGGAGGAGGGGAGGGAGAGGGAACTGAGATTGATATGTAAAGGAAGCTTGTTTCTAATTTAAATAAAAAAGAAAAAAACTTCGAGGGGTGGGAAAAATACAAAAACAGCAAAAGACCCAGGATAGCCAAAACAACCCTGTACAATAAAGGAATTTCCTGAGGCATCACCATCCCTGACTTCAAGCACTATTATAGAGCTATAGTCCTGAAAACAGCTTGATGTTGGCACAAAATATACAGTTAAACCAATGGAATCCAATTGTAAACCCTGATATTAGCCCAATATTAACCTATCAACACCTGATTTTTGACAAAGATGCCGAAGTTATACAATGGAAAAAAGAAAGCATCTTCAATAAATGGTGCTGGCATAACTGGATGCAGACATGTAGATGACTGCAGATAGATTCATATCTATCACCATGCACAAACCTTAAGTCCAAATGGATCAAAGAACTCAAAATAAATCCAGCCACACTGACCCTTTTAGAAGAGAAAGTGGGTGGTATGCTCCAAAAAAGTGGTACAGAAGACTAAATTCTAAACATAACACCAATAGCACATACACTGAGATTGGCAATTAATAAATGGGACCTCCAGAAACTGAGAAGTTTCTGTAAGGCAAAGGACACAATCAACAAGACAAAAATGGCAGCCCAAAGAATGGGAAAAGATATTCACGAATTCCTCATCTGATAGAGGGTTGATTTCCAAAATATAGAAAGAACTCAAGTAGCTAGTCACCAAAACATCAAATAATCCAATTAAAAAGTGGGATATAGAACAAAATAGAGAATTCTCAATTTAGGAATCTAAAATGGATGAAAGACACATAAGAAAGTGCTCAACATCCTTAGCCATCAGGGAAATGCAAATCAAAACAACTTTGATATACCATCTTACTCCTGTCAGAATGTGCTAAAATCAAAAACACCAATGGCAGTTTAAGCTGGAGAGGATGTGGAGGAAGGAGAATACTCCCCCGCTGCTGGTGGGAGTGCAAACTTGTACAGCCACTTTGGAAATCAGTATGGAGATTCCTCAGGAAAATCTCAATCAGTCTACCACAAGATCCAGCAATTCCACTCTTAGACATATACCCAAAAGATACACATTCATACAAGGACATCTGCTCAACCATGTTCATAGCAGCATTATTTATAATAGGCAGAACCTGGAAGCAAACTAGATGCCCCTCAACTGAAGAATGGATGGAGAAAATGTGGTACATTTACACAATGGAGTACTACTCAGAGGAAAACAAAACAAAACAAACAAACAAAAAGAACAGTGGAATCTTGAAATTCCCAAGCAAATTAATGGAAACAAGAAGAAACAATCTTGAGTGACTTAACCCATTCATAAAAATACAAACATGGCATGTACTCACTCATATATGGATTTTAGACATAGAGCAAAGGATTGCCAACCTACAATCTACACTGCCAGAGAAGCTAGGAAACAAGGAGGACCCTAAGAGAGACATACACGGTCCCTTGAAGAAGGCGAAAGGGACATGATCTCTTGAGCTAATTGGGAGCATGGGGAGAGGGGAGAGGAAGCTAGGAGAAAGAGAAGGCAAAAAGAGGAGGGGAGAGGAGGATATGAGAGAGCAAGATTGAGTCAGGGGAAGAATAGAGGAGAGCTAGAAAAGAGATACCATCATAGAGGTATAAGTTTAAGGAGAAATCTGGCACTAGGGAAATGTCCATATATCTACAAGGTTGACCCCAACTAACAACATAAGAAATAGTGGAGATGCTACCTTAAATGCCCTTATCCAACATGAGATTGATGACTACCTTATATGCCATCCTAGAGCCTTCATCCAGTAGCTGATAGAAGCAGAAGCAGACACACACAGCTAAACACTGAGTTGAACTCTGGAATCCAGTTGCAGAGAAGGAGAAGGTGTGATCAAAGGGGTCAAGACTAGGCTGGAGAAACCCACAGAAACAGCTGACCTGAACAAGGGGGAGTTCATGGACTCCAGAATGTTTATTGGGAAACCAGAATAGGACCGACCCAGATCCCCTGAACAAGGATGCTAGTTTAGAGGTCTGGTTAATCTATGGGGCTTCTGGTAGTGGATCAGTATTATCCCTAGTACACGAATGGACTTTGGGAGCCCATTCCACATAGAGGGATGCTCTCTCAGCCTAAATACAAGGGAGAGGTTCTAGGCCCTGCTCCAAATGATATGACAGACTTTGAAGATTCCCCCATGGAAGGCCTCACCCTCCCTGGGGAGGAGAAAGGGTATGGGGTAGGGGGTTAGTGGAGGGCAGGGAAGGAGGGGAGGGAGAGGGAACTGGGATTGACATGTAAGAGAAGCTTGTTTCTAATTTAAATAAAAAAGAAATAAATGAAACAGCAACAAAACAAAACAAAACAAAGACCTTTGCCACACATAACTCATTTTGTTTTCAAAAATATTGAATGAAAATTACATCTAAATTAAAGCCGTGACATTCCCAACTTCTGGTATGAAATAATCCAAGGAAAATTCTATATGCTGATGCACTACACTGAGATACAAGTGATTGGAACAAGCATCCCTTACATCTGGTATTGCTAAACATTTCTCAGTCTAGTAGCCTGAAGTTGGGCCTCTTGTGTGATTAAAAGAAATATCAATAAGTCAGATTAATAATCCCAATAAATCATCTTTGGGAATATTAATCATAATAATATGATGAACTGTATGGAAAGATCTGAAGTATAGCAATCTGTTTTCCCTTTCTCTATATCACATGGCACACGTGTTGACAATCTCTCTCTTCTGGGGTGAGATCTACTATTGATTACCAGTTTTTGTTCACACACTAACCTTTGTGAGGTTGGTTAGTTATTCTTGGAAAGAAGTTGTGTTTTACACATCAGTGAAATCATTTACTATAGATTTATTGCAT